ACCAGAGCCTAAATCGCCCCTTTTACAATTTATAACACACTCACTCCTGCCATAACGGCTGTAATCCAGCCATAGGGTGGAGCCCTCGCGCCCTAGGCCACACCCCAGTACTGTAGGACAGCAAGTGACTTTCTACATGAGTTTTGGAGGAGATATTCAAACATGTTATCTAAGGCACGGGGAATATTTAAAGAGATAGGGCGAGGATGATAAGGAATAAAGTGAGGCTCTAAGCAAAGGACTAAGGTGAAGGGGGAACAGCTGTGCCATGTCAGAGGCTGGTGTGAAGCTGCTTTGGTGTGGAGGAGGGGGAGAAGGAAGAATCCAAGAAGATTCTGCAGTTTGGAGCCTGGCCAAGTGGGAGAGGAATGCTGCCCAGAGATAAAGAGCCTGGAAAGGCGGGCGACTCGGAAGAGAAAATGCCCTTCCGCCGTTGAGTGGAGAGGGCCCAGAGGGAGAAGGAGGTGTGAGATTGAAAGGAGAGAGGAAAGGACCGGAGTGTATGAGTGGGAGAGGTCTCAGGGCAGGGTCACCCGAGGGCAGGGTCACCACGGCAGGTGGAGGATGAGCAGGGAGGGCCGGGAAGGCTGGGCCTTGGGAACGTCCACATTTGAGAGTCAGAAGATGATGCGGAGCTGGAGGGGGTGTTGAATGGAGGCCTAGAGGTAGGGACTAGCAAGACAGGACAGTAACAGGCTGAACATGTGGGGCGTTTAGCAGCAGAGGGACAGCTTAAGAACCAGAGCGCTCATGGTTATACACTCACCTTTACTCTCCAGGATAAACCATGCTGTACCACGAAGGAGTAGAGCTCCAGTTTATTCCTTTTCTCTCTATTACGTAAATCCCTACCACTCAATAGTCTTTTCAAAGGGAGACATGACCCCAGCCAGATGTGCTAATGGAATAAGCAGATTATTATAGCAGAGATCATCAAATTGATTTAGGAAAATACCTGGCTGATTAGTCATTACAGTTTCACATGGAAAGAACTGAATAGTATAGAAAGACAAAGACAAGCAACCAAAGGGGAAAAGAAAATAAATAAATTGAACCTTATCAGAATGGAAAATCAAAACAATAAACATCTTTTTGTGTATCAAAGGACAGTCTTAGTCCGTTTTGGGTTGCTATAACAATAACATGACAGTAATTTATAATGAACAGAAGTTTATTTGGCTCACAGTTCTGGAGGCCAGGAAATTCAAGACTGAGGTACAGGTATCTGGTGAGGGTGTCGTAACATGGAGGAAGATGACCACATGGAGGAGGCACAGCCTCTAGCTCCTTATTTGGCATTAGGTCTGCCATGAGGGTGGAGCCCAGAGGATCTAAACACCTCTCTTTAGGCCCCACCTCCCAACACTGTTGCACTGGGGATTGCTTCCAACATGTGCTTTTGGTGACACTTTGAAACCGCAGCAGACGCTATGGAGAAAGTGAAGACAGCTCGCACAGGGAGAGGACAAAATATTTGCAAATCCTATATCTGATAAGGGACTTGTAGAATATTGAAAGAATTCTTTGCAACTCATCAGTAAAAGACAAGCCAATTAAAACATGGGCAAAGAAGCTGAATGGCTATTTCTCCAAAGAAAATCTACAAATGGCTAACTAAGCACTTGAAAAGATGCCCCACATTAATCATCATAGAAAAGCAAATCTGTGCCACAGTGAGATAACCATTTCACATCCAGTAGGATGGCTATAATAAAAAAAATGGACAATACATTTTTTTCAAGGTGGTAGAGAAACCGGAACCCCGGTCCATTGCTGATGGAAGTATAAAATAGTGTAGCTGCTATCGGAAAAGTCTGGCAGTTCCTCAAAAGGTTAAATATAGAGTTATCATGTGACCCAGCAATTCCACTCCTGATATATACTTAGGAGAAGTGTAAAGGGCCACATGAACACTTGTATCCGGGCAGACCTGGATGTGGATGTTTATAGCGCCTTCTTCGTAACAGCCAAAAGTGGAAACAGTTCAGTGACCCTCACCTGATGAATGGATAAATGAGTGGTATAGTCACATGAATTATTATGAGTGGTATAGTCACATTATTTGGCAATAAATAGGAAAGACAGACTGGTACGTTACCGCACAATGCAGATAATCTTGGAAATGTTACGTTAAATGAAAGACAGAAAACAGCACATATATCTCTCCATGTATGTAAAAAATCCCAAACTGGCAAATTCAGAGACAGAAAGCAGGTGAATGGTTACAGGAAAGGAAGAGGGACCACTTAGGGGCGTGGTGTTTCTTTTTGGGTAAGGGAAATGTTCTGTAGTTGGATGGGGCGATGGCTGCATGTGAATATTCAAAACTCCTAAGTATATTCGCTTGAAAAGGCTACATTTTATGGCATTTAAATTGCATCCCCCCCCCAAAAAAAAAAAATCACATCGCTAAAAAGAAAAAAAGATGAAAATTTTAGAATGCATTTAATCTGGTGCTATCTGGAGATTCATAGGGTTAAAGCAAACAACCAGGTTCCCTTCCTCTGAATAAAGGTCTCAAGAGGTATTCAGAAATGGAGTTGCCTGTCACAGATCCCCTTTAATGGCCTGACTTACATAATGGGACAGCTTTGGGTGTATGAAGCAATTCTGTCAAGGATTTCACAAAATGCAAATAACCTTTCCCATTCCTTATCCATGTATTGGGTTGTCAGAAAGTCATGACGCATTTTTACATAGAAAAACAGAAAAAAGAAAAAGTATGTCATGATTTTTGTGACAACCCAGTCTTTTCTGTGAAGTCCTTTAAGTGCTTTAAAGTTCCTATCCAAGCATTGCTACACCTGGGATATCTTGGCATTGGTTTCTATAGATTGCTTTTGTCCTTGAGTATGGGCCCCATTTTCTTGTTCCTAGCCTATCTAATGATTTTTGATTAAACTGAACATTGTGAAGGTTCCATTTCAGAGGTTCTGGATTCTGTTGTGGTCTTCTGAGAATTTTTGCCTTAGTAGGTAGTTAATACAAGGCTCCACCTCCTATCCTGTGAACAAGACAGTAGCAACATTTGCAGCAGAAATCTCAGGTCTCTCAGTGTCTAGTGCCTCCCCCCAAACCCCTGGGCCCTCCATCCAAGGATTTGAGCACATTTTATTTGCCAACTTGGGAAGTTGACCTCCTACCTCCTGTTTTTTGTTTTTTTTTTTGGAGAGGTTTTCGCTATAGGGTGCGTGCGCTTGCCAGACAGACAGAGACAGAAAGTGAGAAATCACCCCCCAGAAGGGATGGTCACGCCGCAATCCCTTCTCCTCCATTCTCCTCTCGGGATCTTGGGCACGCATGCACACGCGCCTGGCGTGAGTTTTAAGCCACCGGGTCCGGGACGCGAACTGTAGTCGACTACGTGGGAGTCCAGCGACATAGCCATTACGCTAACTGCTGGTTCCCACCTCCTACCTCCTGTGTAACCCCCTTCTCTTTATGGATTTCTTAGCTTTCTGACCATTCTTCCAGCCCTGGACTCTGTCCTTTGTCACTCTCAACCATACTTTATAGGGATTGGCTTGTACCCTCAGGCAAAAAGTTACAGATTTACAAGTCTCACCAGGTTCATTTCTTCCAGGAAAGGAGTTCTTTCTTTTCTCTCCTGGGAGAGACGGTAGTCTCTTCCAGTTTCCTACCTGCTTTTGGTCATTCTCTAATACCCTTAGATAATTTCAAAAATAATGTTCAAATTTTGTAGTTGTTACCTGCATCAGGGTGATGTGTGACCAAGCCACTCTGGTCCATGTTGGAAGCCAGAGGCCAAACAGGTACCTTGTGGGGCTTACCTTTGGCCCTTGCCCTTGTCCCCAGCCTGGGGCTCCACTGTGCTAGTGAGGAAAGGGATCTTTTCCTCCAGGAGCCCCGTTTTCATCTGAGCAGCAGAGGGGACACAGAGCAGACTGGAAGTGCCAGCCCAGGCTGCATAGCATAATGCCACAGGCTGGCTGGTTGAACAATGCAAATTTATTTCTCATGGTTCTGGAGGCTAGAAGTCCTTGACTGAGGGGTGGCAAAGTCAGAGCCTCTCTCCAGGCCTCATAGAAGGCCGCCACCACCTTCCCCTGCCCTCACAAGGCCTTTCCTCTGTGATCAGCCCTCCTGGTGTCTCCTCCTCCTCTTCGTATGGGGGCACAGTCCTGGTGGTTCAGGGCCCACACCTACAATCTCATTTAACCATGATTGGCTCCCTGTCCCCAAATGCCGTCGCAGTAGGGCTTAGGGCTTTAACATGTGAATTTGGGGTGGGGATGGGGTCGCAGTGCTGTCAGTCGCAGAGCGTAGTCCAGCCTCGCTAGGGTATGAGAGCAGTTCAGAGGCCGAGCTGTGTTGGGAATGGCATCCGGATGCATGTAACCAGTCACCACAAAAGTGTGTTCCAGGCCCAGCAGTAGGGGCGTGAGACCCAGTTATGGACAAGACTGGCCCTGCCCGTGTGGAGCTCACAGCCTAGAGGGATCAAAAGACAGAAGGACTGTGACCTTGCTGGGTGATGAAGTGGGATGCCCTGGGAGCTCTGAGGAAGGGGTGCCCAGATAAAATTAGGGGGTCAGGGAAGACGTCTTGAGGGAATGCTTTTCTCAACTGAACCACGAACAGTGAATGAGGAGGCAGCGGTACTGCAGACCAGATGGAGAGAGGGACAGGCGTGAGAAGCTCCGGGGTTGAGAAGGGCGCGCTGTAACAACTGAAATTTAGCAGAGCTGGAGCCGGGGCATGGCCAGAGTGGAGTCGGATGAGGCTAAGGGGGCAGTTGGAACCAGCTCACTTGTTGGCTCGTCACTGTCTATCCCTCTTGAGAGCAAGCTCTGGAAGGATGGTAAGTAAGCCTCCTCTAGTCTGGCGTCCTGTGGCAGAGATGGTGTGTGATAAATGTCGCCTTGTGCACGTTAGCGTGTTGGGCATGAGGTAGAAAGGTTAGGTGTGCGAGCGACCTCACTGCCTTGACACAGCAGGTGAGGACCCAGAGGGGTCACGTGTTGCTGTGTTGTTGGCAGGCCTGGACAGCGAGTCCTCCTCCAGCACTATCCGCTTCAGCAAGGCCTGCCTGAAGAACGTCTTCTCAGTCCTGCTCATCTTCATCTACCTGCTGCTCATGGCCGTGGCCGTCTTCCTGGTCTACCAGACCATCACGGACTTCCGCGAGAAACTCAAGCACCCTGTCATGTCCGTGTCTTACAAGGAGGTGGATCGCTATGATGCCCCAGGTAGAGCTGCCCTGCCCCAGGTCTGTGGCATCCATGGCAAGTGTCCCCTGAGCCACCACTGTGTCCCCACCATAGTTCTAGACACAGCAGGCCAGGCGGAGGAGTACAAGCTAGTCCAGGTGTGGAGCACAACCCCCAGGAGCTGCCCTGGGGGCCCAGGAGGGTGTGTGACATGCTGAGGGGAGATGGACAGAGCCCAGAGTGGTGGACGCAGAAGCAGCAGGCAAGGAAAGCTTCGCAGAGAGCTGGGCTAGATCCTGCCCTTGCAAAGCATGTCGGAGGGAAGACAGCGTTTCCAGGAGGAGGATTGGCAAGAGCAGAGGGGAGTGTGATGAGGCAGAGGGCTTCTTGGGAGAGGATGCGCGCAGCCTGGCCAGAGCCAAAGGCCAGTGAGGAGATGGACGTGGGCGTCAAGCTGGACTGTGAAGCTAGGAAGGAGGCTGGGGAGCAGGGCCATCCTGAAGTGGAGGGGCTCTGCCTAGAGAGGGCCTCACCTGCACGGTGTTTGCCTTTCCTGCCCCACTGCGTGTCTGGTCCCCTATAGAGGTCACCTCTGCAGCAGTCACCCCCGCTGTCTGCCCTGAAGCTGTGGGGCTGTCGTGGGCGCCCTGGTAGCCGTGGAGTGACTAGGAGGCACGAGCTCTGTAGGCTCGGGCGCTGCCCACTGCTGTGCTATCTGCTCTGCCCACAGGATGCCCTGGGGACGACCTGCTCACTGGGCAGAGAGGGAGCAAGTGTACCCTGCCCTGGCTTCTGGGCAGCCGAGTCTGCTGGCCACAGCTCCTCTGTGTGCTGCACCTGGCTCGTGTTTGCCCCTCCCCCATGTGTCTGTTTTGGTCTCTGTGTCTAGTCTCTTGATCTCTGGACTCCTCCTGTCTCTGCTGCCACTTGCTTCTCTCAGCATCCCGCCTTTGGTTGGAACAACTACTATGGGTAGAGCCTTGGACGAGGTGCCTGGGCTGGGGGAGAAGGAGGGACCATTGGGATGTGGCTGGCACATGGGGAGTTCCCAGTCAGCAGAGATGTGAGACAGAGATCTGGGCACCCTCCAGCCTGGAACCTTCCAGGGGATCTGGTGGTGGGCAGAGCAGTGGGCACAGTGGCTCAGTCCAGGGAGGCTCCCTTGGGGTGTGTGGAGCAGGTCCAGCAGTGGAGTGGGTAGGGTGGGCGTCAGGAGCTGCGTCCCCAGCTGGGCGAAGGGTTCCTTGAGGAGGGCTGTGCCTCCCCTGGAGCAGGGCTTTCTGAGAGCAGGTGATGTGGCCCCTCCCTCTGTGCCCCTGCCCTTTGTCTGCAGCCACCCAGGGAGCCTGGGACATAGTCGGTTGGCGGGAGAGGTGATTCCAGGGCTGTGGTCAGGGCTGACTTCTGACATCTGCTTTTCCCTGTGCGTGCCCCCAGGTATTGCCCTGTATCCCGGGCAGGCACAGTTGCTCAGCTGTAAGCACCACTACGAGGTCATCCCACCTCTGAGGAGCCCTGGCCAGCCAGGTGACCTGAACTGCACCACCCAGAGGATCAACTACACGGACCCTTTCTCCAATCAGACCGTGGTAACCGCTGTCTCTGAACTGGGTCTGGCAGTGTGCTCTGCAGCCGCGCCCGAGGCCCCATGTCTTTGTATTCCCAGGAGCCCCCCTTACCCTTGCTCAGCATGGGCCTTGGGCCCCAAGCTGACAGCAGGCCGTGTCAGGAACACTCAGCTGGACAAATCTTGTTTCTCTCACTTTGTCTTTCTGTCTCTCTCACGTGGAAGAAATAAACCAACCTAACTTTTATTTTTAAAGATAATAATTTTTACTTTTTAAAGTTTTGTGTTAAGGTCTGTGCACTCACAGGAGAGAGAGAAAGAGAGAGAGAGAAAGTGAGAAAGCACCCCCAGGGGATAGCCACGCCACAGTTCTCCATTCTCCTTTTGGGGCTTCAGGCACACATGCACATGTCCCTGGTGTGTTTTTCAAGTCATCAGGTCCAGGACTCAAACCATGCAGTTGGCCATGTGGAATCCAGCTGCCTTAAACCCCATGCTACCTGCTGGCCCCAATTTTTACTTTCATTAGTAAGCAAAACCCAGAAGCCATAATGAAAAAGTATTAAAGATTTCACTTTTTTTTTTTTTTTAATTTTTGAGAGGTTTTTGCTTTAGGGCGTGTGCCAGAAAGAGATAAAGTGAGAAATCACCCCCCAGTGGGGGTGGCCTTACCACAGTCCCTTCTACTCCATTCTCCTCTTAGGATTTTGGGCACACATGCACACGTGCCCGGCGTGAGTTTAAGCCACGGGTCCGGGACTCAAACCATGGTCAACTACATGGGAGTCCAGTGAAATAGCCACTATACCAACTGCTAGTCCCAGATTTCACTTTAATTATCACATTAAAAGCTTCGGTATCACAAACTACATTAGAAACAAAGGTAAAAGAGACAGACTGGAAGGAAACATTTGTACGTTCAGCAGAGGAAAGTTTACATCCTTGCTAAATAAAGCTTCCAGAGCTTGACCAGTGAGAAAAATGGACGAGGATGAACTGCCTCCAGCTCTGGTCTCAGCGTCATGTGGGGAGAAGTGCCCAGGCTGAGCATGTGTCCAGCCCAGGCTCATGTGCCCGGAGCAGGGACTGGGTGGTCACTGTGGTGTTGCAGGGCAAGGAGCTACGGGCCTTCCAGTCAGGCTTCTACCCTCAGCCCCTGAAGCCTCGATGTGCCCAAGGCCAGGTGGAGAAGGGCCGCACAGCTCCCATAGGGCTGAGACCCTGGCTTTTGTCTCCCTGCAGAAATCCGCCCTGATTGTCCAGGGGCCTCGAGAAGTAAAGAAGCGAGAGCTGGTCTTCCTCCAGTTTCGCCTGAACCAGAGCAGTGAGGACTTCAGTGCCATCGATTACCTCCTCTTCTCTTCTTTCCAGGACTTCCTGCGGAGGTGGCCCTTCACGGTTACAGTGGGCTGGCTGGCTGCTTGGATCTTATTCCAGCCTTGCACATCCCTGGGGTGGGGACATGGGAGCAGGGCTACCCTGACCCACTGGCCCAGGAAGAGGCCTCAGGAGCCCAGCCAGTCCATGAAGCCTCTGCTCATGCAGTGAACAAGTATGGGGTGGAGGAGGGGCCTGGCTCACCTGTAGGGAGCACCGTTGGTTCTGATTTGATCTGGCCCACTGCCTGGGGCTGCTAAAGAGTAGAAGAAGCTGCCTTCCATTTATGGACCCCCTTAAGCAGTGCCATGGCCTCCCTTGCAGTGCGCATGGAACTGGTTGTGCCCTCAGGGAGGCCCAGTGTGTGCTGTGCACGTCTCTAACAGAATGTAATTGCTGCTGCTGCTCTGGGTTTGCGTGTGTAGTGGTGCACATCTGTCAGGAAGTTCTGCTCCAAACACACTGCTTTGGGACACTCCGTGGTGCCATCTTTGCTGCAGAGCTTGTTAAGGGTAGGAGCATTTTCTGCATGTGCCTGAGCTAAGGGTGACAAAGTTCCCCCAGGCTTGCTAAGCCCAAGAGCTGCATCCACAAATCAGGGGGGTTGCTTCTGCTCCCCAGGACAGCAGGTGAGCAGCCTCCACTGGTCATCCTTTCCACTGGATTTGGGCCTGGCTTGAGCATCTTCACTTGGAATTTCCCCCTCTTCCCTGCTTGGAGCTGGCCTGACTTCCTTCCTCCTGGGAGGCCTTCCGGAGGATCCCACCCCTCTGCTCCTCTGCCGGCTTCCTCAACACCACACTTTGGTTCCTCCTTGGTCAACACATGCTTTGGTTTTGCTGCATTTGCAGCAGGCCGGGGCAGATGTGGGGCCCTCTTTTCCTGTCTAGGACTTCCACAGGGAGCTGATGAACCAGTGGGGGTGCCTCAGGCTCTGCTCCAGACCAGAGTTCTCTGAGTAGCAGAGGTGCCAGATTATGGGGAGGTCTCCCTGCAGAACTAAATTCGGAGAGCTTGGAGGAGTGGAGTGGGTGGTGGGGGTAATGAATGAGGAGGAAGCCTCCTCTGGGACCTTCAGGATGGGGTTCTGACTTTGAGGCTGCTGTTGACTCCCTTCCATTGGAAAGTCATATGGGGAGACGGCAGGGATGGGCCTTGCTTCTGCTGGTGAATGTCAGCCCCGTTGAGACACCACAGTTTGGAGAGGGAGGAGAGATTGGGCAGTATCCTGGTTGTGGCAGCAAAGAAACCAGCTTGAATAGGGGCTGGGGTTTGGGGCTGGCCACATCAGAATCCTCTCATCAGGTCTAGCGTAACTGGGACCTATCTCCTCTTTTCCAAGCCCAGACAAGGCAGGCTTCATGCAGGCCTGTGAGAGTGCCTATTCCAGCTGGAAGTTCTCTGGGGGCTTCCGCACCTGGGTCAAAATGTCACTGGTGAAGACCAAGGAAGAGGATGGGCGGGAAGCGGTGGAGTTTCGGCAGGAGGTAGGTGGCTCTGGGTTTGCTTGGAACTGCTTTGACTCCCTACTTGAGTCTGGGGCAGAGGCCAGCCTCACAGAAGAGAAAAGATCTCTTGAGTGGAGTTGTAAGGTTGAAACTTCACTAGGATGGGAAGGGACCCTGCTGAGGTCCTCCCGTGCAGACCTGGGAGCCTGTCACTCTTGAAGCATGTGCAGACCTTGCCGTCACGGTCAGTCCCATTAAACACATGTGTGGAGCAGAGAGCACTGTGTCTCACAGAAAGTGGTTCACTCACCAGCCGTGTCCACACCCTGTACCCATAGCACTGAGGCTGGCGGCAGCATAGCCAGTTATTTGCAGAAAAGAGAATAGACAGTGATCTCTGAGGAATCACATGTGTGATCATCCACTGGGATATGGGAAAAAGACTTTCTTTTTGTACAGCTCGTCCCTTTAACATTTAAAGCATTTTTTAATGTTTTAAAATGTGTATAAAAATTAGACCAATAACGGTATGTGTTCTATCGCTTATAAAATTATAAATAGAAATATACTGGGTGCATACGCAGCAGGTTTTTACTAATGGGAAGTCCGATCAAAAAGCTTTCAGCCTGGGCCACCTGGATGGCCGGGGGGTTAAGGCAGCTGGATTCCACATGGCCAACCACGGGATTCAAGTCTCAGACCTGGTGACTTGAAAAACATGCCAGGTACATGTGTGCCCCAAATCACAAGAGAGGAGAGATTGGGCAGTATCCTGGTGGTGGCAGCAAAGAAACCAGCTTGAATAGGGGCTGGGGTTTGGGGCTGGCCACATCAGAATCCTCTCATCAGGTCTAGCGTAACTGGGACCTATCTCCTCTTTTCCAAGCCCAGACAAGGCAGGCTTCATGCAGGCCTGTGAGAGTGCCTATTCCAGCTGGAAGTTCTCTGGGGGCTTCCGCACCTGGGTCAAAATGTCACTGGTGAAGACCAAGGAAGAGGATGGGCGGGAAGCGGTGGAGTTTCGGCAGGAGGTAGGTGGCTCTGGGTTTGCTTGGAACTGCTTTGACTCCCTACTTGAGTCTGGGGCAGAGGCCAGCCTCACAGAAGAGAAAAGATCTCTTGAGTGGAGTTGTAAGGTTGAAACTTCACTAGGATGGGAAGGGACCCTGCTGAGGTCCTCCCGTGCAGACCTGGGAGCCTGTCACTCTTGAAGCATGTGCAGACCTTGCCGTCACGGTCAGTCCCATTAAACACATGTGTGGAGCAGAGAGCACTGTGTCTCACAGAAAGTGGTTCACTCACCAGCCGTGTCCACACCCTGTACCCATAGCACTGAGGCTGGCGGCAGCATAGCCAGTTATTTGCAGAAAAGAGAATAGACAGTGATCTCTGAGGAATCACATGTGTGATCATCCACTGGGATATGGGAAAAAGACTTTCTTTTTGTACAGCTCGTCCCTTTAACATTTAAAGCATTTTTTAATGTTTTAAAATGTGTATAAAAATTAGACCAATAACGGTATGTGTTCTATCGCTTATAAAATTATAAATAGAAATATACTGGGTGCATACGCAGCAGGTTTTTACTAATGGGAAGTCCGATCAAAAAGCTTTCAGCCTGGGCCACCTGGATGGCCGGGGGGTTAAGGCAGCTGGATTCCACATGGCCAACCACGGGATTCAAGTCTCAGACCTGGTGACTTGAAAAACATGCCAGGTACATGTGTGCCCCAAATCACAAGAGAAGGGAATGCAGCATGGGGCATGGCTGTCCCCTCCAGGGGATCCTTCTTACCACTACCTCCTCTCCGTCTCTGTCAGATAAGCACGTGTCCCATAGCCAAAAAAGAAAAAAAAAGCTTTGAGCTCACTGGCCTGGAGGCCAGGGCGCCTGCCGGGGGGGTTCTCCTGCTGTGATCTTCAGGAGAGCTGTAGTGGACCCTGGAAAAGGCATAGCACTAGGGATAGAGATGGGCGATTCTGGTCTATTTTGAGTATAGCTACCTAGTGACAGATTTAGGTAAGTCTGAAAGTCTGCCTATTGCACTTCCCAGATCCCATCAGTTTCTCTCAAGAACTGTGGAGAGGTAAGGCACAGGCTCTGGTACCAGCCTCAGGATCTTGCACCTGAGATTTTGGGTGCTCTCCCTCTCTCTAGAGGACGGTGTAAGGAGACTCAAAGTCTAAGATCTCCTTCCTATTTCATCTCCTTTCCTGGGCCCAGGCAAAGGAGGGGCACACGAAGGTGTTAACATTATTTTCTCTCCTCTATGTCTAGACCAGTGTGGTTAACTACATTGACCAGAGGCCAACTGCTGAAAAAAGTGCTCAGTTGTTTTTTGTTGTCTTTGAATGGAAAGATCCTTTCATCCAGAAAGTCCAAGATGTAAGTAGTAGTGGATTATGAAAGCACATTCCCTGCCCTGGAGCATTCTGGGTCATCCTTGTTGCTGAGAAGTCCACCTTGCAGTCCTGTCATCATTTTTCATAGCATGAATCAGTCATAATTTATATTTGTGACATTGCAGTTGTAGCTTGTGTTTAATTGATCTTGTCAGCAGTAGATGGCTGCCTTGATGACAGTGGGGACTCTCAGGCTTTTAGCTGTCATTATCTGATGTCTAGCAGAGTATGTAGCACAGAGTAGCTGCTCAGTAGTGCTATTAATTGAATAAATTGAGTAGGGACCATTTATTACTATGTAGAATGTTGATATTGGAAGTCATCCTTTCTTACTTGTTCTCTGCAGAAGTATACTTGTATTTGTGGTAAATCAAAGTAGAAAGAATAATAATTAACAAAGCATCAATTAATGCCAGATTCAGTCTTGGAAGGGAAGGAATAATTGGACAGCCATAATGAAGGAATGCTCACGACACACTGTTGACCAAAAGCCAGTCCCAAAGCTAGTACTGATAGGCATTCAGAGCATCACAAATGTCTTGACATGATCATGGCTTAGGAGGAGAAATTCTACCGAAGACCCAAACATGTAAGCTCCTGACCCAGTAAGAGATTCTGTTACATGGAAGTGCCCCTTCCTCACCCACCCCCATGGTTATGGACTGGCAGGGCTGTAAGAGGCATGTGGAGAGGTTTACTATATCGGGACTCTCTGGAGGAATGAAGGCGTTCAGCTATACATGGAAATATGTGATTGGATGTTTTTTATCCTGCTCTGTTCAGTGTTAAGATACTTGCCATGGCCCACATAGAGCCCCCTATTTAAGGCATATTCTACTTGTGGTATTTAGCTTCACAACAGTTCTGGTGGTGGTGGTGTAACCATTTTACACAAATACCAAGGATCATAGTGTCCAAGGTGACCCTGCTAAACTGGTTTGAAAGTGTTTTATTTTTACCATGCTGGGAAGTTCAGCAATCTAGAAGGCCTCTGCATTCAGGACTTTATACTTTGTAAGGAGCAATTTATTGCTTTAACTTACTAACTCCAGACAATAAAGGAGTTTGCAGGATAAGTAAGTCTGATGAAATCCAGAGAGAGATTCGGTTTAGTAGTCAGAAAACCCCAAGACTTTGAAGGACTAACAAATCTAGATAGGAAGAAAGCACAATAGAAGTAAGAGGAGCAGAGGCCTGGAGGCAGGTATACAAGAGGTGAGTTTAGGAGAAAAGAGTTGTTGGACTAAATAGGAAGAAAAGTTTTAAGGAAAGTAACTGTGGGGGCCAGCAGGTAGTGTAGTGGTTAAGATGCTAGATTCCCATGTGACTGACTGTTGTTTGAGTCCTAGACCTGGCAGCTTGAAGCTCACGCTGGACGCCATGTATGTGTGTGCCCAAAATTCCAAGAGGAGAATGGAGAAGGGACTGTGGTGTGGCCATCTCCCTGGGAGATGACTTCTCACTTTTTGTGTCTCCTGTGATTGCACGTGCCTATAGCAAAAATATTAAAACAAAAGAAAACAAAAAACTGTGAAAAGGGGAAAAAGCCAGGAGGAACCTTATGTGTTAGTTATCATTCTAGAGAAATTTGTCTCAAAGTTGCTTACTGCTGGATTAGGTCATAAAAGTAAAGTTTAATACTGAATATCTTTTTAGTGCAGAGTTTTTTTGAAAAATAATTTTTGGTTCTTTCAGAAATAACTTTATTATGAAAAGGATTAGTATTTTTCTCCTCAAGCTGAGTAGAAAACATTAAAGGTATAGTCAAGGCTGGGTGCAGTGGCATCTACTTGGGAGTCTGAGGCAGAAGGATCGCAGGTTTGAGGCCAGCCTGGACAACACAGCAACATAGTTCTGTCTCTAAATAAATAAGTAAAGGTATAGTTTGAATGAAGTGTAGAGTTAGGACATTTCAGAATCGAGGTATTTTTCTTATAGCCCTAATAATTTGGGAGAGACTCTTGAAAAAAAAAACAGTTGTATGATTTAAGAATCAAGACTGAAGCAAACACTAATTTTGTTTTGTTTCTGTTCTACAGATAATCACTGCCAATCCTTGGAACACAATTGCTCTTCTTTGTGGGGCCTTCTTGGCATTATTTAAAGCAGCAGAATTTGCCAAACTGAGTGTGAAATGGATGATCAAAATTAGGAAGAGATACCTTAAAAGAAGAGGTCAGGCAACGAACCACATAAGCTGAAGTTGCCTTGTGTTCATGGAACTGCCCACATTAATGGAAGTTCTCGTCACTTCCGCCTTGGTGAAGTGAACTACCAGCAATCCTGTATTCACTTGAAGAAATGGGGCCTTACTGGGAGGGACAGCCTGCTAAACTGGAACTTCTCAACTGGTCCAAAAAAGAGGCTATTCAGAGGCTAATGGAAATGATCCATGGGTAAAGTAAAAGTTATTTAAGTATTTAAATTATTAAGGAGCATTTTAAAGAACTGTCCAGTGACTTTTGAATAGGGTTTGTGGAAAATGCCTTTCTTTCTATTTGATTCCTTGTCTAGTTAAAGTCTTAACAGGATAGAAAAGGCTCTATTTTTTTTTTTTTTTTAGGGTTTTCCCTGAGGTTTTAAAAATGTGCAGAAGAGTGTTACTTTCTTTTTCCCCAAATCCTTCCTGACTATTAAGATGTGTGGGTCATGCTTTGGGAACCTATGCACTACACACCAAGAAAGGTAAAACCGTTTTTTTTTTTTGAGAGGTTTTTCGCTATAGGGTGCGTACGTTCGCCAGACAGACAGAGACGGAGAGACAGAAAGCGAGAAATCCCCCCCCGGGGGGATGGTCATGCCACAATCCCTTCTCCTCCATTCTCCTCTAGGGATCTTGGGCACACACGCACACGCGCCTGGCGTGAGTTTTAAGCCACCGGGTCCGGGACACGAACCACGGTCGACTACGTGGGAGTCCAGTGACATAGCCATTACGCTAACTGCTGGTTCCCAAGAAAGGTAAAACCCTTAATGGCTTGGCATCATCTGCCACCTGTGTTGTCTAGCATGACAGGCACTCTTCATTTGTTAAATATTAAATGGGACTTTAAAACTACTAGAAAGTAGAAACTTTCTTATGAACCGATTAGCCACCTACTTGTCTGGCTAGACTATTTATTGATGCAGGTATGAGTTTAGAGTTATTAACATGAAGCACTGGGACAGATGTACATAGTAGGTGCCTATTCAGTGTCATTTTGATGATTTCATTAACAGGTGAATAAAAAGTTAACCCAACAAAATGAGTGTACCACTATGATTATCTGCTAAATCAACAGGTACTAATAATACTCTTTTATTCTATGACTTCCCAAAACAAAATGGAGCATGAGTCTTAACTCTGAAGATGAATAGCTCTGACTCTCAAAGTATGTCCTAACTGCTTCCAGGGAAGAGTAGGTCGGGCATGGCAGTTGATGGTGGGTGGTCAGGAACAGTGACATATCACGCCCCATGAATAAGCTGGGTTCACTCTTTACTGTGTCCTACAAACCTGCCATGTGGGAAAGGGACATTCATGTGACCCTCAAAGCTTTCAGCCTTACCTTTGACAAAGATGAGGACTTCTAAAAACCATCTAGATGTTTTTCACATTGACCGATTTAAGGTTATAGAAATTGTTTCCAGAATGTACATGCCCGTCACATCCAAGTTTTAGTAGTAGTTCCCAAATTTCGTAATCTCTATATAATCTAAGAACAACTCAGGTCAGCTGCGGCGTGCAGTTCTAATGCAGGGTTCTGTAATGCTGAAGCCACGTGGGAAGGTCTGTGATTTGCATGGGGGTCTCCCTGGGCACACTGGGCATGCTTATGCCCTCTATCCTGGCTGGGGATGGGTCGCTATGTGAAGACCCTGTAGGATGCCTGTCTCTCTTATGAAAGAAATGGATGAACTTTTAAAAGAACTCAAATGTATAAGTTAGGACATTTTTATCTTCTACTTTTGCAGTAAGAAACTATTAAGAATGAACTTGTGTAAAGAGATAATTCCGGCTACTTTTCTGCTCCACAGAAGCATGACTTCAAATTTTAGCCTGGATCTCTTTGTAAAGTCTTACTGTAG